CTCTCTCCATTTCCGAAATTCTTCTTCTCTCTCACTAATATCTCACCACTTTCTTCTTCTAAATACATAAAAATTACTCCATCTTCATTATCATCTATCATATTTGGAGCTCAAGAACACATCTTCCATTTTTGTAAGATTTTTATTATTGTAATAAATATTTATTTGTTTAAGCTTCAAACTATGAACTTCTAAATTCTATTGGGGTTAGAAGTTGGTGTAATTAATTGTCCATTTTAATGTTTTAAATATTTTTAACATGGATTGTTGATTTTATTTTTTACTTGGATGTTGTATTTAAAAATAAATAAATTTAGAATGTTTGTGATTTTTAATTAAGGGCCCAATCATAAACATAATTGTTAAAAGGAATTTGAGCTAAAATTGAAATAATCATAAAATAGAACACTTTTTTTAATTACACCGTAAGCCTTCTCTATCTTTAACCAGGATTGAAGACTTTCAGGTGGACATAATTATTGAGTTGTATTTTTACACCATTAAATTGGGTAAACATATAATAAAATAATTATGGTTGCCGTTGTTACTAAATAATTACTCCGGATTTATCATTAGCGTGTTAAAGTCGGAGTGGTTATTATTTAGGTGAACTGCGAGAGCGTCCCTAAATACTTTTCTGCAACCCAGACATTCTATATAAAAATAAATTAACAATCCAACTTTTATAAAAAACATTGGACAATTAATTTACCAATTTCTACCCCTAACTTTTTCATCATCAAAAACTTTGTGTTGTTTGGAACTCTCTTCTTTTACACTTTTTATTTTATCTTTAAAACCAAAAAGACCAAAATATTTTACAACTTCTTTGTAAACTTTTATTTAAATTAAATTAACTCACGTCTCCCTGAGGTTCGACACCCTACTTACAAGGGATTCTTTTTAGTTGTTATTTTTGCTCGTTCTATACTGCAAATCAATTGCCTTAAGACATTATTGCCTTAAAATAATCTACGACATTATTGCCTTAAAATACTACTTCTTCCGTCCATGAGTATTTGTCCACTTTTGATTTTTTCAGTCAAAATTGGTAAATTTTGAACTCAAATTAAATAAAAATGATATTAGATATTAATATAAAAATAATTTTATTAGATTTATTATATCAAATATTTTGAAAATATTATTTTATCTAATTAATATACAATATATATTTTATTTATTATAAGTCAAAAGTTGAAAATGATTGACCGAAAAAAGTCAAAAATGGACAAGTACTCAGGGACGGAGATATTAGTATATATAAAAATAACAAGATACTCGGTATATAAAATGGCCAAGGATAATGACGTCATTCCCTAAAAAAATAGCAACATTTAATGAGCATTAATTTCTAAATATGTAAAGGAGATATTAATTCAAAAATAAAATGCAAAACGGAAGATGGAAATTTATTCAAAAGAGGGTAAATTCGGAAGCTTGATACGGAGTATAAAATAAATCCTATATCCCTATCTAGGAAAATGTGACATCTAAGGGGCTGTTTGGCAACTTCTGAATAGGTAAGTGCTGAACCAGTAAGAGGTCTGAACCATTAAGTGCTGAACCAGTAAGAGGTCTGAACCATTAAGAGCTAGTATATTGCTTAACTATTCAGAGGCAAATGTCTGATCAATTCAGATAAGAGGTCTTAACCATTCAGACTCTGTATAATACTTAACCATTCAGAGGCAAATCTCTTAACCATTCAGACATCTGAACCATTAAGAGGCTAGAACAAACAGTCTGAACCATTAAGTGCTGAACCATTCAGACATCTGAACCATTAAGACGTTGAAACAAACAGCCCCTAAGTCTTATATAGAACAATTTTTACAATTAACTATTGTTTTAACTCATGTGATGCACGCGATTGAACCAAATTGTCTATGATTCTACCATATGAACTATTAAAACTATTTAAGTTTTTAGGACAAGTAGCGCCGGTACCCCTCGTGGTTTGCAAAACAAGCACCAATAGCCCCTCTGTTTTCAAAACTCATTTTTAAAGTCCCTGTGGTTTCAAAATGCTGCACCCGTGCCCCTTTTGATCATTTTCTGGCCATTTTTCCGGCGAGGAGGGGGGTATTGGTGCATGTTTTTTAAACCATAGGGGGTATCAGTGCTGATTTTTATTTCTTGCATATTTTTTGTTTTTTCCATTTTTTTTCCATTTTTTCCTTTTTTATTTCATTTATT